AAAGAAAGAGCAGGAGCTGAGTCTTGCAGCACTCAGAGAACAGCTAAAAACAGAGCATGCAGACAGAAAAACAGGGAACAGCGGCAGCAACGGCAGGGCAAGGCGGGTCCATTGCAAGCTGGGAAGGGGGGGAAGGAGGAGGGGGGGAGGGGGGAGGGGGGGGGACCAAAAAACAGCAAGAAGTGAGGGGGTGAAGGAGGCAAAGGCCAACAAGTCAGGTGATTTTAAGGGAAGCCGGGCGAGGGGGTGGAAAATGGACGCTAAAAGCGGGTGGGTCCAACCGGGCTGCAGGGAGGAGGATTAGGTGCTTGAGGTAACCCCCAAGACGCCTGGGCCTCTGGCCTCGGCGGATTATAACCCATATTAGGGGACTTATAACCGTACTTTTTTTTTCTCGTTCAGGAGTGGTACCGCTTTCCTTCCAGCTTCTTCCTGCCGAGCACCGAGGCAAAGCGGTTGGGCCCAGCTCAACTAGCAGCTAGGTTCAGGAAACAGTTTAGTAGTGTGTAATGTAGGAGGCTCAGTTTGATAGCGATCTGGTGATTCGACTGGCACTACGTGTTAGACATCGGCCAAGTCAGAAATAGATGAATGACAACAGAAACAACCATACTCGCAGTGTCTTCTTGCATTGAGAATGCACATGGATGCGGCACACTGGCTCCCAGCATGTACTATCGCATGTCTTAACATCACTGGCTGCTCGAAGCTTTGCCGTACCAGTGAGCCAACCGTCAAGAACTACCCTTGCAAGCTGATGCTGCTGAATTTGGCCACCATATCAGGAGCATTTCGAGTTCAATGACATAATAGGGCAGCATCCGCTGGGTTGGATGCAGACATGTGACACCACCAGGTTGATTTGCTTAGTATAGCCTAGACGTATCGATCCTGCCGTCAAGCTACATGGCTAACGGCGGCGCGCACGGTCCAGCCGAGATCTTCAATCGCTTCTGCCAGCTCAAAGGGGTGAAACCACAAATCCAGTAACTCGGTTGCTTTCTGCAGTAGCGGGAGAACTTGGAGCACCTTCTTGCGGAAGATCCGCTGAAGCCGCACCGCTAAGGGTTACTGGTACTGTTACCTAGGGTTACAAGTAGTGTGCAATGTCTCGGTTCACCTGTTCCTTCGAGGATTACTGAGAGTCGTGGCCCCGGGCAGTGGTTGCAATCCTTCAAATGTTTCATCGCCGTCCCGGGTGTTGCTATCAAGGGTGCGGCTCGGCAGCACAGGGAACTAATGCTTGTCATGTTGGACATGTACCTATAGTCTTCATTATAGTTTCTGTTTTGGGTGAACTAAATTTATATGAAAGGATCGTAACCATTATAGGTAGACTGTAACTCAAAGGTACCTAGAGGCTTCCGGTGTCTGCAGACTTGATTGGCAAACTGAGGAAGGCTGGGGCAAGAGCAAACCGGCGGCAAAGCTGCAGGCTACTCTACAATATGTAGACTCCTTGCAAAAGCAAGGTTTAGCGCAGGCGCCGCCGCCTACTCAAGTCTTGAAGCGCAAGCGAGAGGACTCCGTACCTGCGCCGGTGAAACGCCCAGCGCACACTGTCTCTTTGCACGCTCCTCCTGTGCTTCGACATCCGATACGACCTGGGCTTGTGCCAACCGAACTTCTGGTTGCAGCTTCGCAGACAAAGAGACCAGCTGGTGAGGGACCAGTTTCCAAGTTGGTCGAGCTGCTGCGCGTCGGACGCGCAGAGCGCGCCGCGCAAACCCTTCGTGGCATGGCATCATCGACAATCACGGTGAAGCAGCTTGCCAAGTTGGTGGACAGCTTTGGGTTGCGAACCAGAGAAGCTGCAGCTCTGGAAGTGCTGAATATCATCGATGCGCAGCAGATGGCCCTTTTTCCTTCCGCGCCTGGCAAAGCGTATTTTGGGCGGTTCGCTCGCTGGGCAGTGCGAGACTTCATTTCAGATGCACAGTCCGCGATTACCCAGGCGCACACTCTGCCACCTTTCGTTTTAGATCGGAATGGTGCATGCATCCAACATCTTCAGATCAATGCTGGAAGCAAGGCGTCGCAGGTGCTGGTGCGACCTGTGGGAGTGAGCAGTGGATGGTCCCACAACTTCCAGAAAGGTGACTGGCTGCTTCTGACCAGCCCGCACACGGCAAGCCCCAGCGAGTGTAGTGAGACGGAGCGACCTGGCGAGATCTGCTGTGAGGTCGAAGTAGTCTCGGCCGCTTGGGACTCAAGTCTGGAACTTAGAATCGTGGGGGAGTCGCCTGCGATTGCTGCCAACAAAGCCCGTGGCCGCAGCTGCCGTCTAGACAGGATTGCGAACCACGTGACCCTAAGCCGGCAGATTGAGGCCTTGCACCGCCTGTGCAAGGTTGATGACATAGAGCAGCCTTTACTGATTCAATGGACTCCGCAGCTTCTGGCTTCCGCAATGCACGGGGCTGCCAAGGACCAGGGTCAGGATTCAGCACCGACCTGGATTACAAAGCTCTTGCTTCATGCAGACTCTGCAGGCCAGCCCGGAATGGAAGCGGTCATTGCATCGGAGCCGTCCACTCTCACGAGGCTGATCCCTGGTCAGAGTCTCCTCCTTGAAGCCAACGAGTCGCAGCGCCAAGCCTTAACAATGGCCTATTCTAGGCGGCTGACATTGATTCAGGGCCCACCTGGCACTGGGAAGACGACCACTGCATTGCTTCTGGTGCGCAGCTGGATCCAGTCCGGCGTTCGGCCGGTACTATGCTCGGCTGACAGCAACATTGCCGTGGATAACCTGGTGGACGGCTGCGCCAAGGCCAGCTTGAACGTTGTGCGGATCGGCCGTCCCGAAGCCACACGTGCAGACTTGGAGCAGTACAACCTTATGCAAATGGCTAGTGGCCTTGGGCCTGGTGGCTTTGACCCCCAGTTGCAGTACTCGCAGATGAAGGGTGTTCTCGCAAGGGCCGACGTCGTCTGTGCCACCTGCGCAGGCTCTGACCATCCTGTCTTGGAGAAGATGAGTTTTGCAAGGGTTCTTGTGGACGAGGCAGGCCAAGCCACGGAATTGTCGACCCTTGTGCCTCTGATGAAGATGAAAGCGGAGAGTGCTGTTGCCTTTGTGGGAGACCACCGGCAGCTCCCACCCTGTGTCAGCAATATCGAAGTTGACGTTGAAGGTTTTGGCACATCACTCTTTGAACGTCTCGCAGCTCAGGGAGTCGAGCCACACCTGCTGAATATCCAATACCGCATGCACCCATGCATTGCCTTTTACCCATCCCTGGCGTACTACAGTGGCCAAATACGCTCTGGTGTCTCAGGCGCGAGACGGCAACCACCTCAGGGGATTACGTGGCCGCATGCAGATGCACCCATTTCGTTCCTACCAGTACATGGTCGGGAGTTTTCAGAAGGCACATCCTTTTCAAATCACGCCGAAGTGGAGGCCCTCAAGGAGGTCCTGTTAAGCTTGCTGCGTTGGGAGGATGTCAGGCCGGAGGATGTGGGCGTGATAACGCCATATGCAGCCCAAGCGCGGGCGATACGCAAGCTGCTGGGCTGTCCCCCACCAGGCAAGCGTCAAGCCACAGCTCAGGGAGTGGCAGCAGTCGAAGTCAGCTCCGTCGATGGTTTTCAAGGCCGAGAGAAGGACCGGGTTGCCCTAAAGTGCCGGGTCGTCGGACCGCTTGTACGTAGTGTCAAGTCGCACATCACATGATCCGCTACCTTTCAAGTGTTCTGCACAGGCGATGCAGATCAGAAGATATCAGAAGCTCTTGCCGGACACTGTACAGTGTTTGTACAGTAAACCGTGCATCGGAATACTAGGATTCCACTCGCAAAACCTGTCGTCCTGTGCAGGATGTGATCCTTGTGTCAACCGTGAGAGCCAACCAGAGTGGCAGCGTTGGCTTCATTGGCGACTGCAGAAGATTGAACGTGACCCTTACCCGCGCCAAGCGGGGTTTAGCAGCTTGACGAAGTATTTGTACTCGGTTGCACACCAGTCTTCAGATCCTGCCAGCATATACCCCCGAAAAACCCGACATCATATGGGCGCTTTAGAGGGGTGCGTAGATGGTGAGTCCTGGAGCTGTCGAGGGAGAGGCTTGTGGGGGCGGAGCTGTGGCAGTAATCGCCGTCGTTGTAGTCGCAGTCAGTCGCAGTCGGAGTCGTTGTCGTAGTACATGGTTTGGGGTTTAGTGGGGTCTAGGGATGTCTAGGGTTTATAGGGTTTAGTAGTCGTAGTCGTGGCCGTGGTGCTGGTTGGAGTAGAAGCAGTACAGCAACACAGAGGCAGTGCAGTAGTACAGTACGTAGTAGCACAGTAGGAGAGTTTCAGGGGTGCCCACAGCTGTTTAGCGGGGGGTTACAGGGGGCCCCAAAGCCTCGAAACCAAACCCCGACCACGCAAGTGAAGCAAGCTGAGTCGCTTTTATGATCAACACTATCAGGCCTTCACACCGATCACTACAAGACCACTACCAAGACCAAGATCCCTTAAGTTGGGAAGGCTTTTTCCTTCATCCCACACCGCCCGCCCCAACAATGCCATCACAAGGTCTCCCCAAGATGCCCAGGTGACTCATAAGTAGACACACCATTGACACACCAGGTGATCCCTGATCCCAACACCTCCAAACCCTAAACCCTAGACACCAGGACAGCGAGAGGGAAAAGACCCTAAGCCCTAAACCCTTCAGCCATGCAGGAGGCCAAAAAAAAGGCCCTGAGCCCAAAACCCAAAACCCTAAACCGTGTCCATGTCAACTTTTCTCTCATATAGCACCTCGCCGTGAGCATAGTCCTCATTCATGCGCGAGGGAAAAAAACCGGGCCCAGGTGATCATCGGAAATTTCGAGACGCTGATTTCGGATTCCCAGGGCTGGGGCCCATGGCTTTCCTGGGCGCAGCGAGGTGGACTCATTGCAGGCACTGGGGCCCGTGAAAGTATATTCTAGGGTTCTGTAGTGTATGTGTGTGTGTATATATATATATATCCGATATCCTATAATGCAATATTGTGATTCCTGGCTATAGTTATCAGAAGCAGACCGCAGATAAAGTAAACTGTCACCCTTTTTGGGTGCTACAGTCCCAATAAAGCCCCAACGTTACTTTTAGTGCCCTCGGGAACAGGACAAGCAAGACTGCTGTGATCACGTGCTTTGACATTTGCGCATATACTAGCTACTATACCATAAAAACCCTAGAGCACACCATTCATTACATGCTATAAGACACTTTTGCAGTAGCGTAAACAGCATTTAACTGCAATGAGGCCACCCAGCTTCCGAGCCGAGCGCGTCAGAGGTGCCCATGTCTTGTTGCGGTTCGGAACTTGTCCTATAGGGCATAGGGTTTCAAGCTTAGGATTTAGGGTTTGCCTTGTAACGAGTCAGCTGTCCTGGCGTGACGTTGCAAGCCAGTCGCAAAAGGGTTTGCATTGTATGTTTCAGGGTTTTAGCGTTTCGGGTTTGTCCGTGTGGTGAGGATTGTCGTGATGCGCCAGGCTTTGCAGAAGCTCAGCCAGCTGACCGAGCAAGCCCTGATCTTGACGGGATAGCGGTTCAAAAAATGCATCCGTCCCATGGATCATCCCTACTTCTGATACCCGCCTCACCCTTTGCTTGGCGCTGTGCTTTGACAAGTTGCAGGTCTAGGCCTGCAGGGTTTGTACACTGGATCTGGAGAGGAGAGCAAGGGCCTTTAAGATAGGCGTGCGGGAGGCTTGAGGCTAGTTGGAGGTGTCGTTGGCTCGAACAAGGATACAGCCGACGGGAAATCGTTCTCTTCGCTTGTGACCGAAAGCGCCCGACCCAACCGATGACGCGAAACACCACCCTAAACAGAACCCCCCCCAACAAACGTCCCAAAACCCCCGCCGAGCACCAACTTGCAGAGTGCAGGCCGGACCGCTTCCGCTTCTTTGGGTGAACTCTTCATTCGACGGACAGCTCCCCAGGCCGGACGTATGGAAGCCAAAGTAGTTGGTGATTGGTACTCGCCACTTATGGTCCCTGTTATGATCATAAGTATGGGTATGCCTATGATTGTGATGATGATGATGATCGCTATTCTTCTTGTTGGTACAAGGATAAAAAGAGTAGCAAGCCCAGAACGTTGTGTCAGCATGGCTTGGATTCCGAGTTCAGATCTTGGAAGGCCCTTCGCGCCGTGGCCTGAGGGCCTTTGGCAGGCGACGGAAGACACAGCTGCCATGGCAGATGTAAGCGTGCGATACGAGCACGGGTCAGGTTCCCCCGGACATGAACGATCGGAACTTGAGGGAGCCTTCGCGCTACCACCACGAAGACGAATGCCCATCTCTTAAGCACGCTCGGGCGGATTTATACCTCCCAATGCATTCCTTTTCTGGATGTTGTGAGGCAGTCTTCATGTCGATCTGGTCTTGCCACATCAAGTAGAGGCACTTGCTGCTGGCGCTGCTCGAACCTGTTTGCCTCATGCGTCTCCATGGCCTTCTGCAGGAGCCGCCAGATCCATCATCGTGGGAGGAGATGCACTGCGAACCTTTTCTCGATTCTGACCGCTCCCCCTTGCCATGGAGGGCCTTCTACGTCTCCCGCCGGCACTGCGTCGTGCAACATGTCACGCTTAGCGAGTTTCAGATAGGCGGACAATCTTGTGCCAGCTGATGCCCGAGGTTCCCTTTGGTGTTTCCGACAAGCGGAATCATTTCGCAAAATACTGCATCTGGCGCCGGCGCACCTGACAAAAAGCTCTTCTGGCGCGAGGGTTCAGTGGCTCTCTCCTCAAAGCTGCACTACTCTCCTGACTGATGTCGACACAGGAGACTGGAAGTTGTCGGAAGCCAGTCGAAGGCCGCAAAGTGACAGAGAGCTCAAGCAAGTCATATCAAGCCATATCAAGTCTATCACATAAAGCTCCTGGCTGGTAACCGCTAGGCGAAGATTGCGCTGTCTGTTTCGAGGCCTGCTGCTTCGAGTTGAAGGGTGCACATGCATGCAGCATGAAGCGAAGAAGCAATCGAAGGCCATGCGCATGTCCGAGGAGGCGGCAGGCAGCGCCTTTTTTTGGTTTTGCCGGTGTTTTTGCTTGGATTCCGCATGTGTCATAAGCGTGCAAAACCCCACGACCCAGCCAGGCCAGCTTGTTTTTTGCTGGTCCTGCGGCAACAACTTTCATGCTGACTGCAAGCGGCCAAGGTTCGTACGACACAGTGTGCACGGGAGGCACTGCCGTTATGAACTTCTACCCTGGCCAAGGCATACGACGATGGCAGCAAGCATGCTCCGGTGATTCATCGCGGCCGTGCCCCCTATGTCGGGCTCCCAAGGCGACCTGAATTCCTACTACTGCCGTCTTGCTGGCGACGATGGATGGCGATGGGCCACTGCTATGCCCCCTAGTGGCCCTAGTTTCATTAACGTTTGTCGAGCTGAAGCACATGCTACGAATGCTGCTTGGGCACTGCGTGTTCTCTAGTACCTGTACGTAGTATTGCTTAAAAGGGCTTGAAACAGTCAAGGGCCGCTACTGGTAGTGGCAGCAGGGTGGCAGGTAGCACTGGCGGCAATAGTGGAAGCAGTAATAAGATACTGGCTCCTGTCAGTGCCGATGATGATGATGATGCTGCTGCTGCCGGTTACCATAGAATGCCGCTGACGCCTGCAGTACATGCAGCTCTCCGCTCCGACCGCCATGAATAGATTCATCAGCAAATTCAGCAACACACAGTGACAAAAAACGTCTCAGGTCGCCAGCGGCGCCCTTGGGAAAGCCTCCTCGTCCTTTTGTTGGCGTCTTCCTCTGATCCCTGCAGTGGCCAGGCCTTGGAAATCTGCAGAGCATGGAGCTTGGCCTGGCACGTCTAATGCCATGAAGCGATTCTTGTTGATTTCTGTGTCTGTGGCGCTTAATATTTAACAGGCATGTGCCACCAGGTGGTCGAATATTGGTAGCTTCGAGGTGCGGCATGTTTGGGCCCATGGATGCCAAGCGGTGTGAGTTGCTGCCTCTTTCCATGATTGGCAGGCCGAGCTCTGAATCCACGTATCTGAACCTGCTCTGTCCCAGCTCCTATCACTGATCCGCCCAACCATCGGTGCCATGCTCTGTGCAAAGGGCCAAAGCTGCCATCGCAGAAAAGGATCGTCCTGAAGACTTGCATTAGACGAATTTTGTCTCAGGAGCCGTCGGCAACAGCTATGCAAAAGCTGCTACAAGTACTTCTCCCAGGAAGGAAAGCGACATGACAAATCGATACTAATCGCATGATCACCGGGTTGGCATTGTTTTGGCTCGCAACTGTCGCAACAGCGGCTGCCAATTCAAAAGCACTTGCTACCTGGCAGCACTTGCGACCACTCTTTGAGGAACCAAAAACTCGTCTTTCCAGTTGCTCACGTCCGATTTCACTCAGGCTTCAGGAGATCGAGGCAGCAGACGAGGCGCCTCAGATGCGCTGAGCTGTGTCGTCCAGTCCCCCACTTTTCCTGTGCTGTTTGATGAGGCCAGCAAATAGCTGCGCACAGGGCATTCGCGACAATGGGTTTCAATCTCAGTCTCAGGGCCAATGGCCGGGTCATGGATCTTCCGTTGTCTGTGCCAGTTGCTAAGACGTTGGTGACGTTCCATCCTTGACATCGGCCAAGACGAAAAGAAGCCGAGCTTTCTTCCTGTACTGCGTCCTTCCCGGTTGCCGCCTTCTCATTGCTTCCCGCCTGCAGTCCTCGTCTTTCTTCTGGGTCTTTCGACCTTCCGTACGTCCTTTCATGGCTTGTTTTGTGCTTCTTCTATGACCCCAAGCCAAATCAAAAGGAGATAATGCGCCCCGGAATAGCTTTCCCCCATGTCCGCCGACTCAGTTCCCATCAGCTCTTGGATGGTCTTGGCCGAAATCCACCATGGGAATTTTACGCGGCACATGGTGCGCATGGTGGGTACGACGTTTCAAGAGCCTAGCAGTCGTCCGTCCTTAGCCTGAGAGGTGGGCAGCAATCAGGCATGGTGAGCATTCGGATCTACTTCGACAGTTCCAAAATACATGCCAAGATTCAATATCACGGTTGTCTTCAGACGTGGCCCCACGGTTTCAACGCAAATCCACTCTTGGCAAGGCCTCGCAGATTTTAGGTGCCACCACTGCGTGGGGAGCTCAGAATGCTGTGAGACCAGGGATTGGACTTGACTCGACTCACCAGAGGTTACAGTCATTGAAGAAGGCATGCCAGTCTACATGGGCAGGTTCCCCAGGTGGTGTTAGGCACCAGTCTCGGTATCGTGCAGTTGGAGCCGGTTTCAGTGCTTTCACCAGGTCACGATGCATGCTACTGCAGCGTCGCTTGCCGAAAGCGGGGTAGATCTGCGCCGGGCTTAACTTCGGCCAGAGCAGTCGCCGGGTTCCCGTGGGTGCTTCTGCCGTCGCCAAGGTAGAATATGCGAAGCTGACAGGCATCAAGTTGGAGGAGCCCGATGCTCAGAGGGCCCGAACAGAAATGCACGTCTCCCCGACTCAACAGGAACGTGTTGACAGCATCTGACAGCAAGCGCGCACACAAACCAAGACATCGAAAGCAAGCTGAACAACCATGCCCCCATTCAACCTGCAAGATGAATAGCCGATGAAGCAGGAAGTGTGGACACTCCTGGAAGAGGATCAATGTACTGATGTCTTCTGAGAGGAGTCGAATGCAAGAAAAGTGGTTCAAGTTCAGAGGAAGTTCAGTTCCTAGCCTCAGAATGCTCCGGCAACTCTCATCCTTAATGTCGGGCAACGGCAACAGAGATACAGGGGAGGTAAAGCAAGAAAGCTGGAGGCAATAGCTTGTGGTAAAACTCAGAACAGTGGTAGACCCACTGTGACTTGGCGACCTTGTGTGTGTGTGCCAAGGACTGTCGATAGCGCAAGCATGTACAGCAGCATCGTGTCTGACTCGCGCCTCGCCATGCACCAGGGTTCTCTAGGCATGTCCACCAACTGGGATATTTCCATCATACTCACCGAGTGCCAGAATGGCTCCCCGGCCCCGCAACGGAAGGACTGCAACATCGTCAAAGAGAACTTCGGATCTCCAAGGGCAGGGCGGCCACGGCCAGCGCGGCATGCTGAGATGGATTCTCAGTGCAGGGATGCGGCAGCTCACCGCGTGGGCCCCAGCGACAACAACATCTACCATGAATCCAGAGGCACAGTGGCGGTGCACAGCTGCTCCTTCGCAAGGCTATTGCTGGAGGGGCCGAGCTCCTTAGGATGGGGCCCTGTGCTCAGCCTTGTCAGGCTCAGACAGGACTACAAAAAAAGCAACAAGGTGTGAGCTTTGTTGCTTGCACGGGAGCAAGTCTGCCTCCCTAACAGGTCTTTCGCCACACCGCGATTTGCGTGGTGCCAGCAAGTAACGAACCCAGCCGACCCAGTCTTCACTCTTCATCTTCACTGACATTGACACATGCAATTGCCCGTGTTGCATGAGTTTGGCCGTGTGCAGAACTGAAGCGCAGCGTTTTGGCACGGGTGACTGCCCAGCATCCTGCGCCACACGGCCGGGACAGGCCTGGCTGGGAAGAGACGGAATGTAAAGCTTGTGGACTTTGGCATTCGCAGCATTCATCTCACGAAAAGGAGCATGGATCTACCGGCTGTGCTGGGCAAGCCCTTCCAGCCAGCCCTGGAAAGGTATTGCCGAGTGGAACCACCGCCACCTGATATCAGTGAGACAATGGTTGCTGGGTTTCTGCCGCAGCTTTCTGTGCCAAGGCTGCGGAAAGAGGAGCTGCAGGAGCTCAAAACCCTGCTTCTCGCAAAGAAGACCCTGGACACGAGTGGCTCGGCTCGGAGTTCTCGTGTGCCGTGTCTCTGATTCTATGACTATTTGCGCCTGTCATGGGCCTATCTCAGGCAAAGCCAAATGCATTGGCAAGGAGAGGGACTGGGGAGTCCAGGGAGGATAACTGGTACAGGCAGAGAAGGGATCGGGTTTTCGGGTACTCTGAGAAGGCGTGTGTTGGCATATGACAGCCTATGGCTCTAGCCTACATGTCCCCACTTCTGCCCTCGCTTCACGCACTCCGACCCATGCCTGGCAGATATGCCGCAAGTAGCGCTGAGTCCGGAGATTGCCCGGATGCTGGAGCAAGCTCCCGGGCTGACATCTAGAAATGCCACAGCCAACGAAGCCGAGAAGTCTGCAAAGCCAGATGCCGACGCGGCCTCGCCGCATGAAGTCATGGAGTCCTCACCGCGGCCGAAGTCTGAGGCTAAGCCAAATCGAAATCGACAGGTGTCCAACACGGATGAAGACCTGGATGTGTGGATTCACAGCCAGTATTACGCAAGGGGAGGTCAGAAAAAGAAAGCTTTGCAAGCTTTGTCGAGACATCAGACCGGGACCAGCGTTCATCAAGTGCCAGAGGTTCGCAAGATCAACGCTTGCACCAGCCGTTTGGGTGTGAAGCTGGAATATTTCCGAGATCACACCGACGAGGTGGAGTCGTTGATGAGAGTTGTAGAGGAGGGCTTCATGTATCAAGAGACCTCGTGCGGCGAGCCTCTGGTAAATGTCGCGAAGCTCCGATCTCGTGGGCTGAAAGTGAAGGAGACCGATCTGGAGAGAGGAGGTCGTCCCCGGAGCCAAGCTTCTGGAAGGACCTCCCCGACTCGAGCCTGCACTCCCAGAGTGAGAACTCCGCCATGCGTCCGGCTCCGTGAAGTGGTCCTGCGAGCCCGGGACGCAGAGCTCGAGAGACGAGTCGACCAGGCCCTCCGCATACGCTCGCGGCAGACCCGGCACCTGAGGGCCCAGAGAGAGCGGCCCTGGCTCACTTTTCTCCTCCTCGCTTTGACTTCAAAGGTTCTGCAGAAGCTGGTGACAGTCCATCGTCAGATTAGGCACGCAGTCTGCGGTGACAGCACCCAAGCGATCAGGATGTACCGGGACGACTTCAGGCAAATCTGTTTGGAGCGGGGGGAGGACCTGAGCCTGTTCACGAACCGGCATTTTGAAGCTGTGCAGACTCATGCAACCCACCTCTGTGACCTTGAGTTGCAGCGACGACGGAGTCTGTCGATCTGGACAGCCTGGAAAAAAATGCTGCGACTTCTAGTTGTGTACATACGACTCCGACGACCACTGCGGAAAGCAGCTGCTGCAGAGGCACTGAAGAGCTTCATTGGCGCATCCGCTCGGGCGTACTTGCTACGGCGTGCTGTGAAGCACTTTGTGCGATCGGTTCTGCTTGTGCAGAAGGCCATGCGACATCAAGCTCGCATCTTTAGGACGATACAGAACTACATCTTGAAGCCGTACTTGTGGTGTGCAGAGACTCTAGCACTTTGCGACACCTGCCGGGTACGCAAAGCTGAGGCAAGCGCACGAATCGAGGCCTTTTTAGAAGAGGCGGATGTTGAACGCTGGAAGGACGAAGTAAAGCAGATGATGCTGCAGAGAGCTCGCGCATGGCGTGAGGACTATGCCAATGCACCCCCACCTGGGCGACGGAATCCAGAAGACGATTCCCTAAACATTCTACCTTCTCAATCAGAAGTTCGACAACAGATGACACTCGCAGCAGCGACGCTTGTCGATTCCAGAGCCTCGAAACGTTTCAGAAACTCTGACCGTGACCGCGCAGCTCAGAGTGATGCCATGAGTCGGACATCGAGGAAGACGCTGGCATCTTAGTCTTGGTACTGTAGTATAGAGAAAGCGACCTTCAGCGTGGTTGGGGCGTTGTAGCAACTATTATAGTATTACAGTCCCAATATAATCCCAAAGGTTAACCTGGAGTTTTTTAATAGGGAACTGGACAAGTAAGGTATTCAGCAAACATTTTGATGCCATGGATCGCTTGCGACTGGACTCCAGGGAACGAGATGAGATTGCGCGAAAAGTGCTTCTACGGATCATCGACGCCTGGTGGAACTCTATGTGCTTCTATGGGGTGCAGGCAGAGAGATCGAAGAACGACTGGATCAGTTGGCGTCAAGAGGTACTGCGACATGGCTCACTGGACTCGCGGGCACCCGACCCACCTGACGTATTGGTCTGTCCTGAAATTTCCTTCTCGCAAGCTTACACCTGGCTGCAGAAAGAGGTGGACCACCGATATCGAGACAGACTGGAGTCCAGTGGACTGTTTGTGGATGGGTTGTGACGTGTCCCACATGATTTGCTGGCAGATGCTAGAGGCAAGTTGAAGCAAGTGCCATGAAGTTTCACCGAACAGCGAAGATGCACGTGGCCGACTTTCGCTGCAAAGCAGCCGTTGTGCTGCAGATGCCAAATAGTGGCATGGCAGTGACTGCGCCTGTCGACCACATCTTCCTCTCGGATGTTGAGGGGTTTGAAAGAGACGCTTTTGGACTCCAATCTGTTTCGGTAAGATCACCGCTATCTATGGCCTGTTGTGTGCAGGATGGCAAACCCACCGGAACATTCAGCGCCTCTGCAGCGAATGCCAAAGGCGATCACACTGGATCAAGAATCTTGTCAACACTTCAACTGTCATGTGTCATATGAGAATTGTGACCGCAGTTTCTTGGGGTCGCAGCAGCTCCTGCGGAGTGTTTGTGAGGTATGTTTGGCAGCTGGCTACGTGACTTTCTGCAATGGAACGATGCGTGTGCTAATCCTGCCGCAGTCTTGTCCTCCATTCTGTCACATGTCACTTCGCGGCACGAAAAGGTGACAACTGCATCATTGCTTGGGGCTTGTTTTATACTGACCCAGAGGCCGGTGACTTCATCTTTCCCATAGATCTCTGACAGTTTGTGCCGGCTTTTTCACTTCGCCTGCCAGGGGCCAGGCTCCGATGACGCGGTCGCCTGCCTCACCTGCATCGCGCGGTTCCTGTTGCTGCCAGGTTGCAGCTGTTTCACGTTTCATCTGCCGCGGTATTTAGAGTCGTGTGAAAGTTTTGAGCGATTTGCCGGCGCCACTCAATGTCAGAGTCAGGAAATACCAAAGCCACAAAATGGAGATGGTTATCAACGGTTTGAAGGCCAGCCCTCTTTTGGCCCTGCTTGTGTCATAAGCCCTGCGGAAGAATGAAGGATGTCAAGGGGGGCGAGAAGACCTGGATGGACCGTGCCTTCGTTCCATGCACTGGGAGCCGCCTACATAAGGTCTTAAGGCTTGAGCTTAGGGTTGTTACTATTATTGTTATTGTTGTTGATGTTATTATTATCATTCTTCTTCTTCTTCTCAGGATTATTAGTTCTATTTTCTTGGTGCTCTTTGATTATGATTAGTATTCTTAGTATTATTGCTGGTAAGTTGCATTGTTATTCTTATCATTATTTGTTATTACTATTACACGTATTAGTATCAGTAGCATCATGTATTAGTAGGGGTCTTAGTATTATTGTTATTATCATGATTTTTACTATTATCGTTTTTAGCATCCAAGGACCTCACATCCGTTTCATTGGCGAGACAGGCCTGGAAGATCCCAAGTGGTGGCCGCCCCAGGCAGAACCAATCCGAAGTGAATTTTAAGCCGCCTGGTGCGGTAGGTACAACCACAAGCAGAACGATGCTTTGGGCTACTTCATGTGGGCCCGCTGCCTAGACTCGCTTCGTTCGTTTCACCTGCTTTCCTGCCAGTTGTATGCTGGTGTTTGTGCCCTGATTGATGGCCCAGCATTGGTCAGGCTCGAACCCAGCTGGCCTGGCACAAGAAATTGCCTTTCGATGGAGAGCACCTCAAACTCATGGGACAGGCCATCATTTGTTTCCCCAGATCCGGTTCCAAAATGAGACGTGTACTGAGCATAGTCAGCGGTTGCCCCCTCACCGAGATCATGATGCCATCGTTTACGAATGTTCGCAACTTCAATCATCTGCCAGATGTTCGACTACCTGCGGGCGATTGAGTGCTGGGAGGACCTGGATGGAGGCAGCGTGCTGTGGCTGTTCGGAAGGCCGCTGTGTAGGCTGTTAGCACAGGCCATTGGGAGGAGCACTCTGCGGTGCATGCATCCTCGGTTGGGCCTGCTCCTTTGAGCTCTGGCTCTGGCTGAAGTTTGATGTCAATGAGTCACATTGAGGCCTCCGCTGGCAGCTGTGAAACTTTTCAAGAAGGCGGCCTGAAAAGTGCTGTGTTGGATGTCGAATGGAGAGCTACGTGCTGAGTCATGCGCCCATGCGCTGCTGTTCCTGCCGATTGGCAGGTAGCTGCCAGGGATGGTTTCTTGCCACCATGCAAGAGCGACACCTTGGATGTCTTGGAATCGAACCTCCAGGTTCAGGGACCCACGGGTACGAACTGAAGCCTTGAGAATACGATCTTTGCCAGTCCGCGCTGGGAAAGATTTTGCCGAATGCCGCGCCCTTAACATGAACACCCTCTTGGCAATGCCATGTGTAAATTGGCCAAACTCTTCTTGTCGCTAGGAGATCATTTTCCCCACAGACTTGGCGAGAGACTCCGATTCCGCGACGGTCTTCCTCGCGTATCCGTTGGAGGCCTTGGCTTCCAGGACCACGTAGGCGAGACCTCGAGCATCTGAGCAGGTGGTTGATGATGCATCAGCACTCCAAATCATGGATCGATTGAAGAAGGCTGGTGATTCTTGAGGGCATGGAAATGGGAAGACTGTGCTTTGGCCGAGGTCATGGGCCACATCGGTATGTGTCGCTACCGGAAGGCCTGAGTGCTGCAACCCCATTCTTTTGAGACATGGGTGGTTGTCAAAATTATGGTCCCTTTTGGGGTCCTTATTATAATTAATACGGCACCTATTATTTGGGGTACCCCAAAAGAACTACCCACATGAGCTTGTGCAGCTGCTTCGCCAACACCTTTACTCCAGTAGTGCAGGCGATTCCTGAGCCAGAGGTATGTACTAGTACAGGCAGTCAGGCAGTAGGAAAGTCGCGAAGATGTGGCCTGCTGCTTCCTTGCTTGCAGGATAGCTACTGGTGCAAGGACCTGAGGGACGGGTCGGAGCTCCAGGGATACCCCGAACATCCCGAAATCGTAACCCCCAGACCCTAAATCCCAAGTCAGGAGGCCCGACGGCACTACCTGCTCTGAACCTCTACGGGTATGCATCTGTTGGTGGTCGTGCCTTCACAGAGAATGTAAACTGCCCTGGGACTTGGGACTCCCCTCAGATTCAATTGAAACGAGATCCCTGCAGTGCGACATGGTCGGCCGGGTGTGAAGAAGTCCTTTGACTCAAAGTGTACCGGCAGGACTACAAGGAGAAGGTTGGTGATGATCCGACGAAGCATTTCACAGACGAGGAGTTGAAAGAGAGAGACAGGCTGGGTTGGTATGGTATAGTATAGTAGGCTATCCGTAGTAGTACGGTATGGTATAGTATAGTACCGGTATATGGTAAGCAGCTTCATGGCCTCCAATTGCTGAGTCGCAGAGATCTTGCGAAGGCTGCTGAAGGAAGGCGAGGAAGCTCAGTGGTGCTTATTCGACCCGATGCTTGGCAGCTTCGAGCTCTGAGATGCCCCACTGAAGTAATCCTATGATCGTACCCCCTATCAGATGACCCCTAGTATTTGTTCCAGTAAGCCTATCTATAAGCCTGATTCTTGGAGTAGCCCTACGATAGTACCCTGTACAGCACCCCATAACATCTTAACCCCTTGCCACGTTATGGCACAGTTCCTGGCATGTCAGGATGGTCAGCGCCTTTTACGGCCGCATGTACCAGAAGACGAAGGATGCGGGTAGGAGATGCGATGATGTGAGGGACCTTTTGCCCTTGCAGCCCTAAACCCTAAATCTTTGTCGGACAGCTTTTGCGAGTGTGTGAGTCGAAACCCTAAATCTTTTAAAAAGAAACCTAAACCCTAAACCCCTAAACCCGAAACCCTCAATTCCCCTTGCAGCTTGTACAACAGGATGCCAAATACTTGACTCTGCAGCAGCTTTTCCTTGCAAGGCGCCGGGAAGTTGTGTGTTGCCCTCATACTTACTGTAAGGATTGCTACAATAGGGTTACTTCAGTGTGGCCTCTTTGGGCCTCCAGGCTTTGTCTGCGATTCCACGGTTCTTCACTGCGTTGCATCTTTGCAGGTCGCTCGCGGCGATAACTGGAGATTCCTGCCCGTACGGCCCATGGCATTGTGCAGAGGCACCAAATTGAAGGGGACTGGCATGGACGATTTAAGTGCTGATCAGAGTAGGGGGAAGGCATGCGCATCAGATCTGGTAGGCCTGGTAGGGGATGTGGGTACCATGCTTGACTTGGATGGTAAACCACGTCGACGACAAGCTAGCCCAGCCAGTTTTGCGACACAAAGCATGACGGATTGCGTCATCTTAGATGGTGCAGACAATGCAGTACCACTTCTTTCCCGCCAGTTGCAGTGTTTGCCACGAGCTGGCTGGCTGCGCTTTGCTTCGAAGCCAAACGAAGTGAGTTCATAGCACCTAATTAATCTCCAACGCTGGAGTTGCCAGGCGTATTATCTGGAGAAGGACACGTGGGTCCCGAATGATGACACGCCATTGGTTTGGACACAGCATCCCGGCTGGCAAACTGTCTGACGATTTCGCAAGAAGCAGCTGCAAAGACGTGCCCAACACAACGACACGAAATCATAGGGAAGAACGTGTCGACCCGCTAGGAGCTTTTGTAGGAATAGGCACTAAAGACAGGCTACGCGACATCGTCATACATCTTCATCTTGCTCTGAGGATCCCAGTTCCTTTCTTCCAAACAAGGTCCCGGGCTATGCAAACGGAAGCATACCGGACACGAGTTGCCCTTGCAAGCAGCGCAGCGGCAAGAGGATGCGAAACACATACATCGAAGTTTCACAGATCCGCAGAACAGGACATATAAGCGGATCAAAACCTTCTGGTTTGTAGCAGGGCCGGGGCGCCCCTTGCGCGACAAAGTTTGTAACCAAAATGTTTTTTTGCCACAAGGCTGGCGCGACAAGGTCCATCATGTGGCATTGCCGCGCGACAAAGGTTTGAAACAAAGCCGGTGCGACAAGGGTTTGTAACAGAGGCGGGGGCCCCGCGACAACACGGGGTATTGACCCATGCCCTATATACATGTATATGTATGTATATGTATATACACACAGGCCTGCTTGCGTGTTTGCATTGCTCGAGGTCGTTAGGGTGGAATCCACCGCATGATACCGCATGGCTACTGAACGTATATACCACCGAGAGATAGACAGATAGATACTTGTAGTGTAGATAGATCGACTTCCAGTTTACGCGTGTCTGCGCCTCTGAGTTGCGCAGGCTCAGCCATTCAAACTCACAAGTCGTAACAAGACCGGGCGCAGTCGGACACAGTCGGCTTTGGCTTTGGGAAGGCAACAGGGGCCGGGGAGAACTTGGTGCAATCGGAGCTGCAGCACCTTCTCAATGTGCCGTTGTTTCTGCCCGTTGTTTCGAAGCCCAGCACGGAGAGCCCAGAACATGCCACGTCAGAGAGGATGGACGTGGGAGGATTAAGTATTCATGATTCTGAGCCCTGCTTCACGCTGCAGACGATCGTTGTTTATCCAAGGGTCGATCTGAAGATGGCCTTATTCGAGATGGAGCGGAGTCTGGCGCTTGTGGTGTAGTGCCGATTGCTCAGATAGTTGGGAAGCAGAAATGAGGAGTTCAATCCCTTGCCATGCACAGTGGACGTGTGGGCAGGCAGATTTGCGGCTGAGCGCCGCCGTAGGCTGGCGTGAAGCTGTGGTTCGCCTTCCAGCTTTTAAGCCAGAATAAATCAATTTCCTAAATCGATTTCCGGTGGCGCGCCCCGTGCCCCCTCCGCGAGAAAAAGGCACCGAGTGAGGGTGGCTTTGTCTGTGCTGCTCCCTGCTGTGTACAGGACGGTCCCTGACCCAACACGTTGTCGTCCATAGTGGCTGTAGATGGCTGTAGTGTCCAAGTGCGTGCGTGCGGGAGCGCGCACCAGGTGACGGATGATTCTGCTGCAGGCATCTTTGCGTCTGGATCTGCAGTAGCGCAGCGGCCATTGCTGAGTTGATTAGGTCGTGCTGCGCAACTTGGCAGGCGCAGAGGCAGCTTACGCGTGCGAGCCCGGATCCCGCCTGCGCACAGCCATCGTGGTCGTAAATTTCCTGTTCAGTTACATGTCTTGTGCCACCGTGTATCGATACGCCGCATCGAACGCCGGACTGCTTGGGAAGCTTGCAACCTCCAACCTGCAGCCTTTGTGTTCAAAGGCCACCCAGAATAATGTAGGATTGACCTGCCGCGTGGTCGGTGACCCTGGGACATTCAGACAACGCCCTGACCCCAGTTGACGGAAGAGACGGTGAAGCGGGACACCCGATCTTGACCCCAGGCTGGCAAGTCCGGCGCTATCGAAACCCGGAAAAAGCTCATGCCGCTACTCCCTGCTCCGGAGCCGAAGCCCGAGCTTGGGTTTATCGGGCGATGTGTTGTGGCTACCCTTTTTAACCGAATCGAGTACATAGACATAGCTGCCCATGGCTGGACAAGTCTGCCAAGTAGTCACAAGTCACAAGGTGTACTGCATAGATCGCTTGCAGATCTAAGCTACAGCATCCACCTGAGCGACCACGGTTATTTAGTCTTCTTGTGTTAAGAGTACAGGCGGACATGGTA